ATTTTATCAGAACGGTGTAGCCACTTTTCTGTTATATGCCATGGTAGCGGTGAGCGATCAGTCAGCCTTACTTCCTATGTATACTCGATATCCGAAAGTTGGGGTGGGCGTGTCACCGGAAGTGACGTGCACTTGATAGAAGCTATGTGGATAAGCTGCTTCCAACATACATCGCTGGATATCAGCAAAGCATGCTGGCAACAGCTTATCCACGCAACTTCTATCAAGTGCACGTCACTTCCGGTGACACACCTACCCCAACTTTCGGATATCGACTGTAGCTGTTGGTCGACTATGCTAGAAACCTTCATTTTGCGAAGGGACAGAGATAACAGTGCTCGCCGTAAGAAATCAAGGATTCGTGCGAATTCGCGATTTCGCGTTAATTTCGTGAATTCGTTATAACTCGGTTCAAAATTGAGTTTTCAAAATCTGAAGATATCTTTGAACTCAGCTCGTCGGTATGAAGAATGGCTGCTTTCAACTTTCGAAAAGCTTATAATGGATTGCTACTTGCACTCGAGCTTTATCACGACGCGTAAACGATTGGATGTGATGCCTACATGATCGCACTAGCAAAGCCTGATCGTTTTATAGAAAGAGGGACCTCAAGAATCGCGCCCCTCCCTGAGTCACGTACACGACTTTGCAAACAATATTGCGAGATTAACTGAATATTTTTTTGGAGTTTCCACGATTTCTATTCTATTTCGAAGCGCTTAATCAAGGGGAGACTTGTAGTTTCTACACCCAGAATCTAACTCCTTCGAGTTCACATGACTCTCTTAGATCAGATTCCAGCGGGAATACTAGGCCTATTTCGTAACATTTTCCAGCTTTAAGGGAAACGTTTTGTCGGAATCTGAGATGGAAGCGACAGAATCTCTCCACCGTCGTAGGCTATGCTTAACTTTGTATAGGAATAAGATGTGCTTTGTCGCAGGTGAGAGTTTCTCCTGTGGCGTGGTCCTAAACATCACTCCGTTTAATGCCCTAACGAACGTTAGGCTTCTTGCTTTCTTGACGAACTTACAAACCTGAGAAATGCACTCATCGTTTCTTCATGAAAATACTATTGAATAGTGCAACACATTTCGCAATCAAAACAATGTTTTATCGACGTTTCCGGCCTTCTCCTTACTGCCAGCCGACTTCCCCGTCCTTGAAGGCCACACGCAGTCCACGTCCCACGTACGCGGTGCGTAACGCCGCTCCCACGCACGTGGGACGGCAATTATCCTACTAACTATAAGTGGCTAAGTATGTCTGTGTGTGTCTGTCTAGGTAGGTAGCACACAGTGCGAGAGGGGGACGCGGGCTATGCTGTTGGGGGGAGCAGTGCAGTGCGAGAGAGCAAGCGCCAGACGGTGCGAGAGAGCGTGCGACGGGAGAGAGTCGGGGTTGGAGGCGTAAGGGCGAGGGAGTGCGCGCTGTGGAAGAACCGAGTTAGGCTAAGGTGATGGGGTGACTCATGCGGAAGGGGGGGATGGTCGTGGTTGGCGCCCATTTCGAAAACGCCAACAGCAGAATGGAGCGCGCGGCAGCGTGCGTGGCCGCCTGGTATTTTATTTATCGGGCTGCCCACCAATTAAATGTATGACCGACGGCAGTTAGTGCCAGCGGCCATGTTCTTTGAAGATCTTTCACAGTGTAAGTTTTACAGAAGTGTACTTGAAAATGCTTCTTCAGTGATAAGCTTGTTCTTTTTTTGATGTAGAAAGCTGCCTTTTTTTGCTATTAGCTAGCTCAATGATACAACAATTGGCAAAAAAGAGATTTGTGTTCAACCTCATTTGTGGATTCTACAGTGGAAAATTGGAATTTTCCGAGAGCGTTCCGAAGTTTCTCCTTTGCTGGAGGGAGATTTTTGCTTGATTCCCGCCAAAGTACAACAATTTCCGCTTTGAGTTCTCACCAGATGGGTAATCCGACAACCACCGGACTTCCCATCCCTGCAAGCTTTGCGTTCCTCCTTCTCTCCTTATCCTCCCCTCCTCCCTCCATTGCTCTCCAGCTGCCACTGCAGCACCTTGTGGAATGACCGAAAGTGTGCTAAGTAGGTGTTTATATAGCCGTTGGGGTGTTATCACAATCATGCCATTGCAAAACATTGATAGCAAGTCCTGCGAGCTACCCGATTTGTTAGCGGTTGTTTATTCCATTAGCTGCCTTATCACTCACTTCATTTTGCGGACGGACAGACATACAGACATACATACAAACCGACACACCAAGTAAGCGGTTTATATAATACAAAGGATTATTTGTATGTGCGACGTATAAAAGCGTTTTAGCATTGAGAGCATTTTTCGAGGGCACACAAACAACGGCCGCCAGTGTGTCAAGTGTAGCCTACGACGGTGAACAGTCCAGCCTTCCCAGATTCCGACGAAACGTTTTCTGAAAAACTGAGAAATGTCAAAAATGAAATCTGGTTTGAGATAGTCATGTGAACTCGAAGGATTCAGATTCTGGGTGTAGAAACTACAGGTCTCTCGTTGATTAAGCGCTTCGAAATGAAATAGAAATCGTGGAAACTCAAAAAAATATTCAGTTGATCTCGCAAGATAGTTTGCGAAGCAGAGTACGTGGCGCATTCTAGAAAACGTCTTGAAGCCCATCTTCCGCGTGGATTTTTGATTTCTTACGGCGATTACGGTACGCACCGACAAACCGAC